CCAATAAGCAACAACAATAAATAAAATTTTTATTATTATAAATTTGTACTTATTTTTAAATATTTCCACATTTTAAAAATTATATGGATTGTCTTTTTAAAAAAAAACATGAGGTATTAAATGAGGCTTATTTCTGATGGCTTCATACTTGACTAGAAACATAAAAATCAAAAGGCAGAATCATCATTAGGTTTTCTTATCAGTGTAATCTGTATTTAATCCATGTAATTAAAAGAAGTTCATGAAAGGTCATTAAACATAATGTTATTTTTAGAGAAGAAGAAATGTGCATATCTATCACATCTTTACAAAGAGGGAAAGGAGGTTAGCAGTTGGTTTACAGCTTCTCCAAGGGGTTTCCACATTGGCTATGTCATATAATGTTTTATAGCAAGATGGCTGGCTTGAATACAGGGGTCTGAAATCCCAAATGTAATTAAAATCTTGTAATGAGCTATAGTATTGAGAAAAATGTTCCTCGCCTCCTGATCTTATATGCTTGGAGACAGAAAAATGTATGATTGAAAAAAGGCAATTAGGGTTCATTATGAACTAATTATCTTGCAAGTTCCATCAATGTTCTTTAACACTTTGGGTTATATCAGAGAATTTGAATGTTGGACTATCACTTGGTTCTACAAATTGGTTTGGAGAAAAGAAAAGTTACCATCTTTGGAACCGATTTGTGGGGTATTTTCTTGAAAGTAAGATGTAAAACTTAACCTTCCTCCTCAACACTACACAGTGGGATACCTCAGTTTGGGCATTTAGGAAGAAGCTAGAGAAATGAGGCACCAGATGCAGGATGTTAAATAGTTCTGGCCCAGTGTCAAGAATAGCAAAATAATAGTAATAATACTCTCCATGTTTTCTTCTTCCACTTACTCCAAATTCCAAAGGAAAAAAATGGGAAATGTATCTTTCCTTCCATTCACCTATTATCTTGACAATCATATTGTGGAGTTGAATCTAAACGTCGACAATTCCTAGTGGGGATTAAAGCACATTATCCAAATATAAATTTACCCTATCCATTTTTGCCCTTCCATAAACCTTTCTGTTGTTTTAACATTTTCTGAAAATTTAGTGAACTTTTCTAAGTAATGAGGACAGCCTACCTCCCTTTTTATTTTGAAAAGATTAAAAAAATTAAATCATTGTTGGGCTAAGACCTTGGATTGTATGCCAAGTTTCAGTCTGAAGCAATTTTAGACATCTGTGTTATAATGTCCCTGAAAGCATTCCCACCACTAAATTAAACCTGAGCTTTGGGGTTGCTCAGTGATATAAAGTTTATTGAAACATTTTTACATTCACTTGCTTAGACCACATTAGCCGTTTTATTTCCACACATGAAACTAAACAATAAAATTGTAAAAACAGAACAGCAGGTAAGAGTCTCATTTTATTCTCTTGTTGTCTGTTTCATTTTGTCACAGTCGCCATCATGATTACCTACCTCTTGTTGAATGATAACAGTGCATTTTGGTGATCTGACCCTGGACAATGGAAATGCTTTGTTAGAATTTCTGCATTAATATTGTTGTTGTATGCTTATTAAATTCCAAAAGGAAGCTAAATGCCATTCAGGGCCCATGGTGCAAAGGTCAAAATTTTCCCTCTTTGGTGAGATTTAAATTTAATAGTAAGATTTTTGCCTCCACTAATAGCCTCCTTTGATGCCTCAGGGGTGGTATGGAAATGAAACCAGGCTTCCCAAGACTGTGCTAAAGAAGCAGTCCTACTAAACTGGAATGGTGTCCAGTACCAGTCTGGCAATTAACTATGTAGCTGTCATTCAAGGACCAGCCTGTGGCAGCTGGAGGCCTGGAGAGGCTGATTACCATAGGGTAGAGGTTGCCATCTATGGGACTATATCAATAAAATAACAAATCTTTAAAGCACAGAAGTAAAATTAGCCATAGAGTTCCTAAATCTCAAGGATTCTAAAGAATTGAGTTCATTTCATTCACATTCAAGGAAGAGGGAGGTTGAAAGCGATTGAGTTTGATAAGTGAGAAGCAGGGAATTGCTCAGGTTTGCTAACCATTTTATGGCAATCCGGCCAGGTTTTTCAAGTAGGGCTTGCTCAGTGGGTTTTCATACACAGGAGACATGGAGAGGAGAAAGGAGAAGAAGAAAAAAACTGGGTGTCTGACTGCTTCTTCCTTTGTCTTTCCCACCTTCAGATTTCTAAATAATACAGACCAAGTGTGGAATATTAGGCTTTTACCATAACTTTAAAGAAATTGAGTATTTTATTAAACACAATATTAAACATCAATATAAGCTATACTTTCTTGATAACTATTTTCATGTAAGTTAATTAATTTAAATGTATAAAATTTACTAATACCTTTTGAGTTCCTCTCTCTAAGTCCTTTTCAGGATCTTTTATCATTCTTTTTCACTTTTTCTTTACACAATTGTGATTAGTGTGTAATTCATTCTATTGGTTTTTTTTTAAAGTCTTTCCAGATTTCTTTGTCTTCTCATAATTGTCCAGCTTAATTGCATTATAGTATTCCATTATAATAATGTACAATGGGTTACTCTTACCCTGTTTATGAAATCTTATAGAGTTGGGATTTGGAAACGGGGCAGATAGGAAAGTTGTTCAGACTGAATGAATGAAAATACATTTACTATGTGCTTATTACTATGTGCCAAGCCCTGTGCCTATGTACTGGTGGGGGAGAAAAATTGCTATCTTTTTTTTTTTAACTTTATCATAGTCTTCATTAAGGAGAGTAACAGCTTGAAACTTCCTGTACAAAATGACTAATACAGAAATGTTTTGCATAATTGCAGGTGTATAACCAGTATCAGATTGCTCATCATCTCAGGAAGGGGAAAGAGGAAGGAAGAATAGAATTTGGAACTCAAAACTTAAAATAAATGTTAAAAAAAATTTAACATGTAATTGGAGGGAGAAAAACCACTATCTTTTTATCATGAGAAAATGACCAGAATGTCCAGTCATTAGAGATACGTCCCATTCATATCTTATTTTTTTGACTTGACTGATATTCCGTGACTCATTCTGAAGATATATCAGAGTCCTTTTTAACTCAAAGTGTGCTTTTGTAGAAATAAATAGTTTTGATAGAGCACTGCCCTGAAGTCAGGAAGACCTGAGTTCACATCCAGCCTCAGACCAAACACTTGACACTTAACTAGCTGTGTAACTCTGGGCAAGTCACTTAACCCCAGTTGCCAAAAAAGAAAAGAAAAAGAAATAAATAGTTTTCACCCTTAAGTATATATGTTTTACCAACAAAAGAAACGTGTGGAATTTCAAATCAGCTGAAGGGCACTTGCAGACTATTTTGAGAGGAGATGGGAACAATTTCGATAAGTTCTCAGGAGGTGTGTATTCCTATGTAGCTCAAAGAAGGGAGAGGCCCAGACCTCAAATTCCAATTGATGGAGGAAATTGAGCAGCCTCCGGAAACCTACTGACAGAGCAGTCACCAGGGATAAAAGGAAGATTTTGTTAGAGTGGTGACAGACGGGGGAAGGGAGAAGGTAGGCCCTGCCACTGAAGAACAGTTTCTAGCATCCATCAGCTTTTAAAAGTACAAAGAGACAGGCTTGTCCATACTCCCATGATCATAAATCTGCCTGCCTCCTAGCCCACATCCTGCAGAACCCTGCCATACCCGAGGCACTGTTTTATTCTTGAGGCCAAAAGATGGAAAGATAGTGCTAGTCAAAAAGTTCACTGTTTATTGACACTTTTCAAAGATCAAGCCTGGGCTTTGAGTTTCCTCTTGCTAGTATCATTGCTAAAAGTGACTTAACACAGTTATGGTGTTTTATCAGGTATTTGCCTCAGTTAATGAACACAATCTCTGCTTTTCCCCTTTACTGGTTTCTTCTCTTCTCTGTCCCAGACTCAAAGGGCCTAAGGCCCAGGAGTCCATAAACTTGTTTCTGTAATATTGCAATAACAGAATTTCAACATAACTGATTTCTTTTGTTCTTCTATGTATATTTTATGCATTTGAAAACATTATTCTAAGGAGAGACCTAGAGATTTCACCAGACTACTGAAGAGGTCCATGACAGAAAAGATGTTAAGAACATTTGGCCTACAAGGACATTAGGGTGGGCAGTAGAAAAGTAGCAGCCAGAAGATTCTGTTTTATTTTTATACTCTTCACTCTGTTCACATGAGAGGCTGCTTAATAAATATTTGTGAAATTGGATTGCAGGAGTTCTCCCTGCTGTTCCTGGCAATACTAACTGAAGTTTATAATCATATAATGAAATCTTTTAAGATGGAAAAAAAATTCCTCTAGAACATGAAACTATTAGAAAGGAATCAAATTAAATATTTGTTCAGTACCTACTATATGTGAGACACAGACTTATGCTTCTTGTTCAGTTGTGTCCAATTCTTTGTGACCCCATTCAGGGTTTTCTTGGCAAAGATACTGGAGTGGTTTGCCATTTCCTTATCCAACTCATTTTACAGATGGGGAAACTGAGGCAAACAGGGTTAAGTGACTTGTGCAGGACCACACAGCTAGGTAGCATCTGAGGGTGGATTTAAACTCAGGAAGAGAAGTCTTCCTGACTCCAGGTCCCATGTTCTGTCTACTGCACCACCCAGCTGCCCCAGGCTTATGCTTAATAAATGAGAAAAGTTTCAAGTGGATTTTCTATGTTTTCACTCTTAGGTAGAATGAGACAGAGGGTGAGATAAGGCTTTAAAATCTGAATAGTTATTTGGTCAGCTAGAAGCAGGTAAAATTACTTTTTAAAAAAAAGGCACTAGAGAGCCAGTTTTATATTGACCATGTTTCTTAGAGGAGTTAACACCCCCCCCCAAAAAAAGCAATACCTTATAAATACTTACCTTTCAATTTACTTCAAATTATGCAGCTCTTGAATGCTGCTCCTTAAGTTCTAAAGTGCAGCCTTTGGGGGGAAAAGAGAGAGAGAAAGAAGGAGAAAAAAAAGTCATGACAAAATGCATTTGGTTGAAATTGCAGGTTTGTGTAATTCCGCCGACAGCTGGATGATTGTGCCCAACATCAAACAAAACCACTACACAGTTCACGGGCTCCAGAGCGGCACCAAGTACATCTTCATCGTCAAAGCTATTAATCAGGCTGGCAGTCGGAACAGTGAGCCTGGCAAATTGAAGACAAACAGTGAGTAACATGAAACCCAGCCCTGTCTTCTCCCACCCTCTCTCCTTTCTACTGTCACTGTGCCTTCTTCCCTTCCTTCTTGACATTTGAAAGACAAGTGATTCAAAGCAGAATATCAAGTTAATGATCCCTTGTACAAGATTCCTTTATTTTATCTCCGATATCTGTCCAAATCCTTTCACCTGTCCAGGTCCCAGACATTTTTTCCTTCTGGGATAGTTTTTTTTTTTTTTCTGGGATAGTTCTTTTTTTCCTTTTTTCTTCTTCTCTTTTAGCTTTCATGTAGAGAGGCACTGTGGTATTTTGTATAGAGTGCTGGATTTGGAATCAAAAGGGCTTGAGTTCAAATCCTGGCTCTGAAACTTGCTAGCTGTGTGACCTTGATCAAGTGGTTTCTCTGAGCCTCAGTTTCTTCATCCTTAAAATGGGGGAAATGCTTTCTCTACCTATAAGGATTTGTTGTTTGGGTCTAGACTTGTGAATTTATCAGAATGGGGAACTCTCATCGTATAAGCCCTCACTCTGGGAATGCTACTCAGTAACTCATATATAACTTAAAGACAGGGGGAACTTAGACTTTTAGTGACTTGCTTGTGGTGATATAGTTAGTATGTATGAAAATTAGGACTTGATCTGGGTCTTTTTTTTATTCTAAAACTAGCATTCTATGGCATCCAGGGCCATCTCCAGTTTTCTTGATCTGTATCTTGCAACTGGATCTAGATGGCTCCTGAGGAGAGAGTGAGGCTGGTGACTTTGCATAGTCCTGCCTCACTTAAATCCAACTCACTTGCAAGTCATGTCATCCAAACAACAGCATTCTATACATTACAGTGCATTGCCTCTCTTACAGGTTTATTTGTAAGATTAAATGAGATTAAGGTATGTTGTTGTTTAGTTGTTTTTTCAGTGGTATTTGACTCTTTGTGATCCCATTTAGGGTTTTCTTGGCAAAGATACTGGAGTGGTTTAACATTTCCTTCTCCAGCTCATTTTTTACAGATGTGGCAACTGAGGCAAATGGGGTTAAGTGATTTGCCTAGAGTCACACAGCTAGTAGGTGTCTGAGGCCAGATTTGAATTTAGGAAGATGAGTCTTCCTGATTCCAGGCCTGGCACTCTATCCACTGTGCCACCTAATTGCCCAGGATTGAGGTATAGAAAAGTTCTTTGAAATCTATAAAGTGTTAAACAGATGTTCAATTGATAGTATTATTAGCATTTTTATTGTTGTTATCTTGTTCTCACTAATTTAATTTGGTTTGGAGTTCAGATAGAAATAATTGGAAGGCAGATGACTTTTGTTATTTTTGTATAGCTAATGTTCTGCAGACTACTGTACAAGTGGCTTTTTTTGGTAATTAAATATGAATGATAGAAAATAACCTCATCTTCTGTAGACTCACAAGAAATATCTGGAAAAAGACTACAGTAGTGGACAGAACAACTGTGTCTACTTTGTCTTGTTCCCATGTAATTTTAATTTTTCTGTTATGTCTCTATATTTTGAAAACTTTTCATTCCATGTGCTTTGGACATTGAAAAAACAGCATATAGTACATTGATGTGTGTTAGAAACATTGTTGTTTATATGTATCAATCAGTGTTACATCCAGGTGGTTCTGTTGATAATGATGCTTAAGTTCCAGTACAAGTCATTTGCTGAATCCTCAAGAATATTTGGGGGCTTATATTTCTAGGAGGGCAAGTGTGGCATATAGAAAGATATCAGTCCCACCTTTAATATGTATTAGCTGTGTGATCTTGGGGAAATCAGTTAACTTCTTAGATATCTAGGCAGCTCTCTCACATTAAAAGTTGCTGAGAAGGTGCCAGCTTGCACTAGAAAAGGATGTTTCTTCCCACTGAAGTTCTATATACAAATTGAAACACAGGGTTTTGTCAGCTTCTGGTGTGTAAGTTTAGCCACTTTATGGTACCCTTTCAGATATCTGAGATATTAAATTTTTGTAATTATTAATAGTAATGTTACATAGTTTCTACCACTTCATTGCATAATCTGAATTAATCAATAAATCTCGGATCTTAAAGGATAGCCTTCCAATAATTTCTGATTTAAATAACCTGATCCTGAATCTCTGTAATAAATTCTTCCATTTCTATAAGTAGTTTTTCCTCATTCTTCTCATCTTTTGAGGGGATTCAAGAAGAAATGGCCTTGGAATAGGCAATTATCCTTTCATATGTAATGTTCTATGGATTGTTGCACAGGTAGATAAAAAAAGTTTTTTGTTTAACAAAAATATTGTTATTCATATAACTCTCAAATTAGTTTTTAAAGCAATGGCAAAGCAGAATTTCCATGGCCTCACCTGTCAATCAATCAGCTCTAATTAGGAGCAAGTAAGGCAGGCAAACTATTAGACCCATTTTAACAAACCTATTTTTAATTGGTTGATGATTATTTTTCAATTTTTTCTACTTTCATATCATTTGAAAACTGGCATGTACTGCCAGCCAGAAACATGTCTCTGAGTATAAGTAGGATCATATTTGGTAGTGACTTGTCTTCTTTGTAGGTCTTGAGTGCTTTGCAAGTAAGCACTCACTAAATACATTAATTTGATTTATTATGTACTACCTATATTTAAAAAAACCAGACCTGGTTATTTCAAAACTCCCTCAATCATGGCATTTTTGCAACTTTTTTTTTTTTGCAATTTATGGTTATACAGAGTTGCCCAGGGTCACACAGTCAGTATGTGTCAGAGATAGAATTTGAATCCTTCATTTCTGAAGCACAAACAGCTATTTATTTAATGTTCAACTCAGTTTTCAAAAGACTATTTAAAAATTGTAACAATTCTAAATGAGATAAATAGGATGTCAAGACAACTGGGGATTGTGCCATGTGAAAGAGAGCTTAGCTAGGAGCAATGATACACACCTGTAATCCCTGATACTCAGGAGGCTAAGCCTATAGTTTTTTCGAATTCAGGAGTTCTGAGCTATAGGAGCTAAAGCCCATTGGGTGTCCTTTCTAAGTCTGATGCTAATATGGTGAGCCCCTTGGAAGTCAGGGGCTACCAGGCTGCCTAAGGAGAAAGAGAATGAGAAAAGACAATTCAGCTTGACCTCAAAGGACAGGAACATACATAGATATAGGGTTAGAAATGCCCTGAGAGGTTATCTGGTCCAGGGCTTCTTAAACTTTTTCCACTCAAGACCTCATATGGGGTCGCAAACTACAGTTTAAGAAGCACTGAATTCTAGTCCAATAGGAACAATTAGTAGAAATTGCAGAGAGGCAGAACTGTATTCAATAGGAGGAAAAAACTCAAAATGTGTTCCAAGTGTAATGAGCTGCCCCAGAAAGAAGTGATAGACCTATTTTCAAGTATGTGTTTCTATGAGTATCCCGATAGGTAAACATAATGAGAAGTCCACTTATGGTATAATAGAAAGAGTGCTGGATTTGAGATCTGAGGACTTGGGTTCAAATCCTGACTCTCTAATTTCCTGCTTGCATGACCTGGACATCACTTTCCTCAATCATAAAATGAGAGCATCAGACTAGAAGATTGTGAAGGTTTCTTCTAATTCTAAGCTACCTAGGTGTCAGTTTTCACCCAGTTTTTTGCAGCTATTTTTACAAAATTCTCTGACTTGCTTTTTCCAGTGTAGCATAGAGCTAGCCACACCATAATTTAAACACCATGCTTAAGTTCATAATGTCCCCAAATTTTTGGAAGCTTTTCCTTGACATAGAAAGGGAGTTTACAAGCAAGGACTTTTGTAGGTGGTAGTATCATAGTTGTAGCCCAATGGTGGCTATATTTTCTTCAGCATGAATGAGTATGTTGCTGGGCTCCATGAGCCTCACTAGGTTTAGAAAGGCAGCCATATGTCTTGCCATAGTTTTGTTGACCATGCTTATTGTCTGTGAGCTACCCAAGGAGAAGATACCTGCCAACAGCAACAATCTCTGCAATGTTTTTACACTGTATTCTTTTGGATGAAGTTGTAACTCATTTCCTGTACTTAACTGCCTTATGCCTAATGTTGTTCTACAGTACAGGCAATCTTCCAAGGTAATATTGAATTGTCATATAATAATAATAGCTATCATAAGAGATGGAATCAACAAGAGAAGGACTTATTGAAAATTTTCAATTGTGCCTCTGCCCTGGGAGGTTTTTAATAATGCCCAACTCATTTAAATGTAAATATGGATAATAAAATGGGCAGACATAATTAAAGCCTGGGGGAGGAAAACCCAGACTAGAAGAGCATTTATCCACTTTTGGGGATAAAATAATACAGGTTTATGGCTGTCCTAAGGTCATCGTGTTAATACTTCATTCATGGCAAACTAAATTAATGTCAGCACAACAAATTTTATTTATACACATACACACAAACATATATCATACACACAAACATATATATATGTGTGTATATTATATATATATATAATCCATAATGTTACTGTATTTGCTTGCTTATTGGTTTGGATCCTATTATTACATGATCTGAATATATGCAGCCAATATGCTAAAATTAGCCAAGAGAAAGTTATCAATGGTGGATATGATCTTTTCCCTCTCTTAATGCTGATCTACAGAAAGAGTCATTCTGTTATTGGTCAGAAAGGACTTCTGCAAATGTCCTTCATGGAATACTATAATGACATTTCAGAAATGTTGGTTATCAAGAGAATTTCTGTAAAGTGAATTCTGTTTTCATGTTGCCTTGCATTCACACTCCCTGTAATAAGACAAATTGAAAACTGTGATAAATGAAACTTTGTCTTTCCCCTCTCTGATCCCTGCTCCAAAACTTCTTTAATTTTTTTCAAATAACAAAAAAATGTTATTTTTGCATGCTTCATTGGGGAAAAGAAAAAACCCTTGAAATAAGTATGAATAATAAGAAAAACATTTCTGCATTGTCCATGTGTAAAACATATATGTCTCAGTCTGCACTGACTCTGTTACCTGTCAGGAAGTGGGTAGCATGCTTCATCATGGGTTCTTTGGAATCATGTTTGGTTATTGCATTGATCAGAATTCTTAGCAGGGGTGTGCTAGAGCCTGCTTGAACCTTCTCCCCAGAGCCAATTGTTAAATTTTTGGTTTGAGCATTTATACCTCATGAATTGGTGAACTACAAAACCAGGACAAGATTTATCATTTCATTGATTCTTTAGATTTAAGAAAGTGTTGGGGAATTATGAATAACACAGATTGAATTTAAAAATGTCATATCCTTTTTTTTGTTAAACATTTTCCAGCATATCCCTGATTCTTAATGATTCATTTGTGAAAGTTATATATGTAAAGCACAGATCTGACCATGTCATTCCCTTGCTCAGTGAACTCCAGTGAGCTCTTTGTTGGCAAGTTCAGTGACATATTGGACTCCTCCTCTTCTCATCATTCTTCTGCCCCGGTCCTTTTACCATAGGGATTTCCCCCTATCACGGGAATCCTGACTCTACACTCACAGCTTCTGGAAGTTTGCTCCATGTGACTTGATTTTCTGGATTTTTACAATGATTAATATAACTTCACCAGTGAATGACAGAAAATACCTTAATTTTGATGCTTTGTATTATGCAAAATGAACTGAAGGAAAGTGCACATGAGATATGATTAGGAATAGGTAAACTGGTCTAGTTCTTAGGCTATGTGATTAATCGCTTCAAAATAAACATAATTTTTTCTTTGTTCTACAAATGTCTTTTCAGGCCAGCCATTTAAATTGGACCCCAAATCTGCCCACCGAAAACTAAAGGTGTCCCATGACAACTTGACAGTAGAACGTGATGAAACATCATCAAAAAAGAGTCACACACCTGAGCGCTTCACTAGCCAAGGGAGCTATGGTGTAGCAGGCAATGTGTTCATTGATAGTGGGCGCCATTACTGGGAAGTAGTCATAAGTGGAAGTACATGGTAAGCCTCATATTTAAATTGCACTGTAGTTACCAAAGAAGACTCTTGCATCTGTATTTTGATAGAGAATTTAACCAAGCCTAAAAATAATCATCTTCTTCTAAAGATATTTCCATAAGGACTGTATATGTCTTTCACAAGAACTTTAAAAAATATAAAGAATAACCATTACTCCGTTTATGAGATGTACTTATGGTATGAATTACCCTGTCCACGGACATCTTGCTTGTTCTGAGTATGTAGTCATGAAAAAATGCTCTAAATCATTATTGGTGAGGGAAATGCAAATAAAAACAACTTTGAGATATCATCTATCAGTTTGGCTAAAATGATAGAAGGGGACAATGATAAATGCTAGAGGGGAGGGGATGTGGAAAAATTGGGACATTAATATACTGTTGGTGGAACTGTGAACTGACCTAACTACTCTGGAGAGTGATCTGGAATTATGAACAAAGTTTTATAGAATCGTGTATTATTACCGTTTGACCCAGCAGTACCACTGTTAGGTCTGTTTCCCAAGGTGATCAAGAAAAAAAGGAAAAGAACCTATATGTTCTAAAATATTTATAGCAGCTCTCTTTGTGGTAGCAAAGAACTGGAAATTGATGGGATGCCTCTCAATTGGGGAATGGCTAAATAAGTTGTGGTATATAATTGGTGCTGGAATACTTTTGTGCTGTAAGAAATGATGAGCAGGTTAATTTTAGGAAAACATGGAAAGACATGCATGAAATAAAGAAGAGTGAAATGAGCAAAACCAAGACAACATCATATACAATAATAATAATATTGTTCAAAGAATTATGAAGGAAGATGCTGTCTTCCTTCGAAGAAAAAAACTGATAAAGAGAACTATTCATAATTTGGTTTTACATATATACATATATATACACAGAGAGAAATGTGTGTGTATGAAATGGTGGCCTCCTCTAGTGTAGGGTGGGGAGGGAGGGCAACAGTTCAGAACTTAAAATGTAACAATAAATAAAAAATAATGTTTAAAAAGAGAATATGAGGAAACCACCCCAACATGCTGAATAAAAGGATTTATGAGTAGACAAGGGTAGATAGGGTTCAATCACCACAGGAGGGAGTACCTACATCAGTGAGATCATAAATCCATGAAATTTCACAGCCTGGATTCCTTACAGATCCTCTTTCATGCTAGAAAGGGGACCCTTTTTGCATTAATCTCAAGCAGTGTCTATGTCTTTTACTGCTAGCATTACAGGCCACTTAACTTGAGCTAATGATAGGAAGGTGCTGCTCAGAAAGCTATAAAGGGCATTGAAAGATTATCTGAGGCAGCTACCTGCCCTCAGGTGCAAAACTTTCTAAGCTATCTAGGACATGGTTGCCTATGCTTCTGTCAAGGTTATAGATTCAATTCCTGTCAATCACCATTGCACAGAGAAAAACCTATCAGCCACAGGCTGTCCTCCTAACACTGTCTATCTGTCTTGCTATTGGTAACAAAAGGAACTAAGGGAAAGGATGTTATAATTATCTTCAAAACAACGCATATGTCTATAGTGAGTGACTCTACTTAGCCCACATCCATCACCACTGGTGGGAAAGAAAAACCCTCAAAAGTAAATGTTCTATTAATAGCGTATGAGGAATATCTTTCTCTCTCTCTTTCTCTCTCTCTCTCTATATATATATACATATAAATAATATATACATATATATGTGTGTATATATGTATGAATATATATGTGTGTGTGTGTGTGTGTGTATATATATATATATATATATACATACACACGTACACACATATCATCTGCAAAGCATGTCTTTCTTGTAAAGCAATTAGATTGAGTGCAGGAAAATAGTAAAACATATCCAAGGTCTCTATACTGTGTCTAGGCCACACAAGCACTTGGCTTTAAAATGAGAATATGAGCTCAAATATCTCCTTTCCTTGAATTTGATTCCCACAGTCCCAAATAATGGTTGTGATATCTAGTAGGGAGTTCCTCCTTACCTTTCAATTGTTTAGAACATTCTCATTCTGAACATTTCACCTGAGGTTGGAAAAGAGGGCCTTCTGCATGACTGGGCTATGTGGTAGACTACCACTCATTTTTTCAAACATAATGAAAGCATAAAATAATAATAATAATTACAAAAAAGCAAAAAAAATAGGATTAATGGCTGATGCAAAAAAGGAGGGAATTAAATGTCTCATGAACATGCTTCACTAATAATCATTGATGATCACATTTCAATTTATTAGTAAAGAGAATTCTACCAGAGTCACTTCAGTACCACAAACATTACTCAATTTTCCTTGAACTGTCCACCAGATGTAAAGAAAATAATAATATGTGCAAGGAAAAAAACACTAAAAATTTAAAGTAATCCCCTATGTTTGCCATTTTAGAAGACCTGATTTACTTTAATTTCTGGAAATCTACCATTTGAAGTTAGTTACAGGTAGCTAAAAAGAGAGAGAAGGAGGAGACAACCACTAAGACCAACTTTGTGCAGATACCTTGCTTAGAATGAGATTGGGGAATGGCACCTCTATCTTCTCAAGCACTGCTACTTGAACTTGTAAATAAACATGTAATTTTATGATATGTGCAAAGGGGCATGTTAGCATTCCTCTGAGAAACATTACTTGGAAGACTTTTTGACTTCTTGGTGTTTCAGAGCATACCTTAATGGATCGTCAGCATTCTTCTCTGCCTTGGAAGCACTGTGGAAATATGTACATAGTTTTCAAGATTAATGCTAATTTAATAATACTCAATTCCTTTGGTTAATGGACTATAAACTTAGTTATTTTGTTACAAAAGCTAACTGGCGTTAATGGTCATTGGGTGTTTTATGGAGTGGTGCTAATGAACTTGGAGGGTGGTTTCAGGGAAAGATCAGCAGGTTGGAACATCAGGAAGTCTACTTTCAGCTTTGACTCACTCTGTGAACCTCTAGGTGCCTAACTTTTCCCATTTGCAGAATAGCATCAGTAAAACCTAGGACTTAACCATAGAATTAAACTTGAGGATTCAATGAAATCATGAGGGTCAATATATTTGTAATAAAAAATTAAAGTGTAGCAAATGCTCATTCATATATTCAGGAGCACTTAGTAAATGTTTATTGATTGATTGAGCAAATACGTACATACCTCTATTACCAATGCAAGTTGTAACCCTTCTCATCCTGTGCAATTAGGTATGTTAAAAACCAAATGTAGTAACTCAGCCATTTGTAAATGATGAACTACTTTCAAACTGGAAATGCAACCAGCTTCAGTGCAGATATAATTTATCAGAGTATGTTTTTTTTTAATATCTCTTTGCTCAGTCAACATTGTTTTTGTTAAAATTTTAGTGTTTTGTTAGTTTTATTGCAATTAACTATTAGTAGTTAATTGTAAATAGCTATTAATTAGAATTGGCAGGTGTTCTGTGGTGTGTTTTTTTAAATTATTATTTAAACCTTAGAACCAGTGGCATTTTGGAAACTCTTTTTGTTATCCTCTGAATTAAGCTTACTTCTTCTTGATAAGGTCCCAAAAGCCAAATTGCAAACAACCTTAATTCTGCCATGACCATCATCCAATATATTCACTTTTGAATAGAAGCTCTGAATCAAAGCAAAGAGTTTTACTTAGTCTCAGTTCTATAGAAGGTCATAAGAATTATGGACATATATGCCAGAGGAAAAAAAATTAGAGTAAGGATTCAGGATATTTAAGGAGGGAATGGAGGGGAAGGGGTTCCCCACATCATAAAAAATATCAAGAATTTTTTTAAAGCAATTATGAAGTATGATCATTGTCTAACAGGAGTGGGGAACCCAGGGCCTTGAGGCTACATTAAGTCCTTGGCTGTGGCCTTTTGACTGAGTACAAGTTCATTTTATTAAGGGGATTTGTTCTGTGAAGTTTGGATTCAATCAAAGGGCCACACTTGAGGATCTAGAGGGCTATGTGTGGCCTTGAGGCTGCAGGTTCTCTACCCCTGGTGCACTTTGTCACTTTATTTAAAAAAAGAAAAGGCTTAATTTTTACCATTTCTCCTTAGTGGGGAGGGGAGGAATAAAAGGTAATTCTATCACAGGTTAAAAAAAAATTGGCATGGTATGTGACTTGAAAACAAGATTTTGAATGTCCCAATGATCTGTTCCTTATCACACAGTTGGGAATAAAAGAAAATGTGAAATTATCAGTTAAGTAGATACCTTGCTAGATTTTAATTTAATTTAAGCTCACAAACAAGTCACCTCTATAAGCCTCTAAACTGGGCAAAATATAGGATAGTTTTCATTCCCAAGACCCTGAATGTATCCTTGACTTTGATTTTTGTTTCTACAGGTATGCAATTGGTCTTGCTTACAAGTCAGCCCCAAAGCATGAGTGGATTGGAAAGAATTCTGCTTCTTGGGTACTCTGCCGCTGCAATAATAATTGGGTGGTGAGACATAATAGCAAGGAAATTCCCATCGAACCAGCACCCCACCTCCGGCGGGTGGGCATTTTGCTAGACTATGATAATGGCTCCATCGCCTTTTATGATGCTTTGAACTCCCTTCACCTTTATACATTTGACATTACATTTGCACAGCCAGTGTGTCCTACCTTCACCGTGTGGAATAAATGTTTGACAATTATAACAGGCCTTCCCATCCCAGATCACTTGGACTGCCTTGATCAGCTGCCCTGATGTTTGAAACTCAGATGGAGCAGAAACGATGCAGAACATTCAGAGGACGGACGGCAAATGTGCAGTCCACAAGAGCTTGACTAAGACTCTTCAACTGTGCGCCGTAAAAAACGTCCATAAATTGACTGAGACGGGCTTGGAAATGAGAGTCTCCCCCTCCTTTAGCTGTGTGTTTTGTATTAAAGTGCAGGAAATGGCTTTAATAATTTCTTGGAACATTTTTTGTATTTACGGGAAGATTTATAGATTATTTATAAAAGAAACATGATCTGGATTACAACTCTTAGGAATTATTTGGTTTTGCACATTAAGAGGCCCATTTACTAACGTTTACCAGCTTTTTACACACTTATTTCATCACAGTGTATGGGCTCAAAAAAAAAAAAGTTTTGTAAGTTTTTATCCTCCTTCTTGCTCTATAAAAATACATACTTGCCCCATGCAAGGTCCTGTCATCTCAACACTGCATATAAGAATGTGCAAATAAAAATACTCTAGAGCCAAGTTAAGAAGTAAAAAAGAAGATGGAGGTCCTTCTTGCTATGATTTTTAAATGGGTAGCACATTTCCATTCCTAAGGGGAAAATTGCAAATTTTTGCAAACAATTGCAAAATTATTACTGTGAAGTAAAAAAAAAAATTAGTTTCTAAACCAGAAAGCCAGGGCAGTGGTGATGATGGAATTGTGTAGCTAATTCTTAGTATCTCAATTTGTCATGTTTAACTGTCACATGATCTGCATCCAGGTGGAAGCCGTAGTTTTTGAAACTCCTCAAACATGCCATCACCTTCCCACCTATAATTTCTCCCAAAAGGAATTCCACTGTTGGCATTTTTTTTTCTTTCTTGGGAATCCTGGGTAAACAGATTGTATTAAGCCTAGAAAAGCAGTCTCTAAATCATACCAGTTACTTAATTTTGAGTTAGATCAAGAATTGGATTTTCATTTTCTATAAATATTACAATGAAATTTATCTCATCTTAAGCTTTAATGGCTTGCCATGGGCTCATAAAACATCTTCCCTCACATTTTATAGTCTCCCACCTATAGTGCTTTCTTAGTCTCTTGAGAAAAGAAAATGAACACATTCTGTAGCAAATGGAAATAGCAATTTGGACAACTTTCTACTTTGCAATACATGAGTACGTAATGTGTACTAGAAGCATCAAATACAGTGAAGTGCCCCCAAAGGATATGTTAGGAAATGATGATGATGATAATAATGATAATGGTTATATAAGGTACCATTCATGCTAACGCATACTCCAACATATATTGGAAGTGGGTTTTATGATACCACCCCTCCATTAAAAATAAAATAAAGACTAAAGGCTCTCATTATTCTAGAGAGCTGCTGTGTAGTTTGGAAAGAGAGAACTCAAGCTTGTTATTCATATACATGGTGTGATATGGCCAACCCATCATTGTTGTTTGCTTTTGACACTCTGGAATGAGTCACTGAATCTTCTCTCAAGTTTCTTTAAAATAGTAGAGAGATCCAACACTGGCACCATTTAGATTCAATTCTGCTCTGGGAAAAAAAAAGGGGGGGGAGTTGACATCTTAAAATTGCTTTTGTCCCTAAAATGCATGCTGTGTCTACCCCAGATACCAGGGTTCTCCAGTTCAGGTTTGAGTAGTTTCTTTTTTCCCACTGAATTGACCCAATTTTTTCCTGAATCAAAACCAGCTAGTTAGTTGTATTTGCTTCATGTAGACAAAAAGCCCATTTGAATGTTTGTTTTTTAATCAGACACACAGGACTTTGTCATATCATCGTGTTCTGTCTCTATTACTGGCACACTCTTCCCTCCTTTTTTTAACAAATAAGGTTCTATATATTTACTATGAGATTTATACCTAAAGGATTATTTTGCTAGATAATGGAAAAAATACTTTTAAAGGACTGTTTTCTGAAGAAATTAAAAATAAGGGTTTTTTTCCCATAATAAACAATGTGAATTTTCTTTCACTGAACAAATTGAAAGGTTGCCTCAGTAATTTTTAATGTTGCTTTGGGAATTCAATATTAAAGGATATTTTAATGCACTTTGTTCACCAAAAGGCTCAAAATAAATGGGCCTCCAGCTCAACTTCTGAGTTTTTAAATACTCAATATATTGGTACTGATAAGCTTTCCGGTTTGCCTTACAATGCCAATTCTAAAGAATAATGATGCTTCCATACATATAGTTGTTTTTCCAACATTAAAAAAAATCCTGTACAAATCTCCATTTAAGCAGTTTTAAGTATGTTCTGGCTATTTTTGTATGGGCAAAGGAGATTGAGTATAAATTGGTTGTTGAAACACCAATGTTTCCATCATGGAAACCTTGTGGCCAATAAATACCAGTCAGCAATGATTTCAGAGTTAACATATTTAAAGAAAAAATATGTATATGCTCTATTGCTACAGTGTTTCTTTTAATGTCTATAATACAGAAAAAATTCCACAAGGATTTTTTTTTTGGAAAGTAAAAAAAAAAGTCTATAAACAGATGCTGCAGTAAAGACCAGTGTGCTTTGCAGAGTTGTCTGGGTCAGAGACATTCTTTTTTTGTTGAACTACAGCTGGGATAGTCCACAAATCACAGGGAAATAATGCAGGTGAAGAGATATGGGATAAAGGAAAAGCAGGTCCAGGACCACGTACATGAATGAAGCAGAAATGACACAGGCCTAAGAGGGAAGGTGACTGTGCAATATGCTTTACCTCATGATAATCTTCCTCTTGGTGGATGAATAAGGAAATGAGGCTAGAAGGACAGATGAAAGAAACTGGCGGTACAATACAAAGGAATCCAGTTGGGTTCAAATGAAAGCTTGATGATGATTTCTATTTTTTTTTTTGTCTAGCCCCTTTAGATTAAAAAAAAAAAGTCACCTCAAATAGAGACATTGACTACAAGTATTGACAATGATTTCTGTTGGGAAAGAGAAAAAGACATGCAGTCTACAAAAATCTCATTATGGTGTTGCTATTTGAACTTGGCAGTCAATAAACCACACTGCTTAAGTGAGATTTTAACCCAATGAGTTCTTGGTGTATATATGTATGTGCCTATATGTGTGCATGTATAGACACGCGCCCATATGTGCACACATAAATATGGATTTGTTGTTGGAAATTTCAGTATTTGGCCTTTTCCTTCAAACTTGTTTATGTATGAATTAGATATGAGGGCAATGACAGCAGAGAAAAGTTGTTATTTTACATGGTCTTTTTTTTTTAAACCAAGGTCAGTTTATTTTACAGGATTTCATTCAATACAATAAAAGTATCACTTAAAAACCTCTGTTCCTGTGGCTTTTATATATTTTAAAACTTCTTTAGAGAATAAAGCTCAACTATAGAAAACAAAACTTGTGTGAATACAACATGACAAAAGCGTTGAATGCAGAATCAAGGTAATCAAGTAAAAATTCTAACTATATGATCTTTGGCAAGTCCTTTCCCTTCTCTGGGTCTCAGTTTCCTCATCTGTAAAATGACGGAGTTGGACGAGGTGATTTCTTCAGGTCCCTTCCTGCTCTAGGTTTTATGATCCTTTATTTAGGAGAGAGGATTGAAATAAGTTCTCTCTGCTTTTGGAAATGAGAAATGTGTGGAGAGAATTGTGCAGAAAATAAATCTTTCTTCAGACATAAGCCACTCTTCCTTAGCTTTAAGGCCTTAACCAATATTGCTGTTGTTCAGTCATTTCACTCATGTCCACGTCTCGTGATCCCATCTGGGGTTTACTTGGCAAAGATAGTGGAGTGGTTTGCCATTGCCTTTTCCAGCTAATTTTATAGATGAGGAACTGAAATGGGGTTAAGTAACTCGCCCAGGATCACACAGCTGGTAAGTGTCTTAGATTAGATTTGAACTCAGGAAGATGATTATTCCTCACTTTAGGCCCAGCATTCTAACCACTGAGCCACCTAGCTACCCTTAACCAATTACCTCCCTTATTTCTCCATTTTCTCTATGCTCCTCAATCCTGTTGTTAAATATCGTCAATTCCTGTCATTTCCTTTTTCTTCTACCCTTGTATCATTGAATCAGTTTGGTCTTTAATAAATGTTTGCCTTAGTGCCTTGATCCCACCTTCCTCTTTATTCCAAACAGTTATTCTGGATTATATTGCTAAATAACCCTGAAAGAAATCATGAATGGGATTAGGACTTGAGCAGGCTATCATTCAACACCAAAAAGACCAGAACATGAGCAGAGGAAGAGGGAGAAGGGAAAGGTGGCAGAGGTGACTTTATCAAATTTCATCAATTGATATAGCAGGCATCTAACTTTTTTTGGTAGTACTACCACCATTTGGGGGTCATCTGGCTGGCTACAGTTCCTGTAACAACTATTCCAAACTCTCCCCTTAAACTTTTAACACTTTCTCACAAGCCTATTTTTCAAGAGATGACATTTTTTCCTACTTTACAATGAAAATTCAATTCAACAAATATTTTTAATGTTTGTGGTTAATTTCAATTGGCCTGTTTTATCCAAGGCACAGCACTAGGTGCTAAAGAAAAACACACACATACGCGCGCGCACACGCACGCACGCACACGCGCGCACACACACACACACACTCTATTCCTGGTCCTCAAGAAGCTTAATTCCACTGGGAAGATACAACATATGTACAAATAACAGTAGATACAGAGGAGAGAGAGCTAACTGGATGGATAAGGAGAAGCTTCAGAGCTCGTATGCTTAGTGCTAAAGAAAAATAAAGATGTGACACTGAAGCAGAGCTGACAAAGGAATGCATTCTAGTCATGGAGGCCAACTTATAAGGACACATGAAGACGGAACATAGATCTTCAAGAGTTCTGAAGATAGCTAATAGTCTAATTCAGCAAGAACACAATGCATAAAAGAACTAATGTGAAATAAGACTAGAAAAGGCAGGTGAATTTTGATTTTGTTCTACAGTCAATAGGACGTAACTGAAGTTTTTCCGAGTGGAAAATGGTATGGTCACACCTATTCCCCTAGAAAGAATATTTTGGCACCTGTATGGAAGACAAATGGTAAAGGGGAGAGACTGAAAGCAGGGAGATAAATGAGGAAGCTACCATAATAGCATAGACAGAAGTTGGTGGGTGCAACAATGCCATTTCCTTCTCTAGCTCATTTTATAGAAGAGGAAACAGAGACAAACTTGCCTAGGGTCACACAGCTAGTAAGTGTCTGAAGCCAGATTTTAACTCAGTGAGATGAGTCTTCCTGATTATTCCCGATTGGGTGATGGCAACACTGGGTGATGGCAACACTCTTTGTCACTGGGCCAGATAACGGAACAACAGAGGGAATGAGAGTAGGACCCATATTAGGAAATGAGGAGGATAGGGAAGAAAAGAGTCTGATTGATACTCCACTAAGTCTGAGGGAAAGTACATAGCATCCAGCTAAGGTCAATTTTGCCCCCTAGAAGTCACTTGGACAGAGACTTAGACTGTTGAACCATGAATTGCCCAGAGTGGCAGGAGGTCAAGATGCTTTGAGACTCAGCTCCCAGGAACACTGCCATCAAAGGGAAGAGAGTCAGAAACTGAACAATAGTGGGAGGAAGGAATAAAGACTAGAAATACTAAATCTCAGTGGGAAAAAAACTCAAAGATCTTGAGTACAAGTGGATAAATCGATACTGAAGACATTAATAGCAGGAGGAAATATGACTTCCAGATCACAGAAGAAAGCTGAGACTTTTATAAGCAATGCTTGACAAAGGAATATTAATCATCACCTGATAAGGCAGAGGACCCTATGGTCATACCAGGGTAAGCATTGTATCATACCATGATGTTCCTGAATGGTTTAAAAGAGAAATATCGATCTTGAAGACAGGATGCATAGAGACAATTTAGGGATTAGAGGTCTCTAAGAAGAACAAGACAAGGTGAAAAATCTGAACAGTATAATACAAGAAATAATACAAGGAAACTGCCCAGAACTTTAGAACACAGAAAAAAAGTACCAGATGAAAGAATTTACAGATTATATCCAGAACAAACCCTAGCCTTCTAACTCGAAGAATAGAATAGTGGGTTTAACAGTTCTACTAAGAAACAACAAATTCTGGCAGCTGTGGCAGATTCCAGACTTCTCAACCCACGAAGGCCAAAAACAACTTAGAAGGTCAATAGGAAAAGGCTGCGTCTGTGGTGAGCACAGGGTCCCAGCCCCATTTCCCAAGTGCTGCCCCAGGGTGGCAGCAGCCTCTGAAGCTTCCAGCCCACAGACTGAGGGAGAATTGAGTGGCTGATCAGAAGAGGATTGCAGGGATCTCTCTGCTGGTGCAGGATTCTCTTGCTTTGCCCATGTTTGGATCTGGGTCACAGTTAGGGGTGGCGGTCCAGGAATGAGGAGGAGCACTGGCGTGGTGGAGCTTGTAGTGGTGGTGGACAGGAAATCCTCCTCATAGTTCCAAGACAGAAAAGAGTGCTTGTGGTCACTCACAGACCAGAGCACAGGACAGGAAAGGAGTAAACACCTCACCCTTGATCATAGCACCTTGGAAGAACTGAAAATTTTCAGATCCCTAGAAGTATCTCTGAAAACAGCTGCACAAAACCCCCCAAAGCTTGGGACAGTACATTCTCCACACTGGAAGCAGACTCCTACCTTAACAAAGAGTTTATAACTCAAGTAATCGACTAAGATCACGAGCAAGCAGCACAAAAAGAATCAGACCATAGAATCTTTCTTTGGTAACATACAGGATCAAAACATACAACCAGAAGAAGACAACACTGTCAAAACTCCTACATCCAAAGCCTCCAAGAAAAATATGAATTGCCATGGAAGAGCTCAAAAAGGATTTTGAGAAGCAAGTAAGAGAAGTAGAGGAAAAACTGAGAGTGATGCAAGAAAATCATGAAAAAACAAGTCAACAGCTTGCTAAAGGAGACCCCAAAAAATACTGAAGAAAATAACACCTTAAAAAAAAAGCCTAACCCAAATGGCAAAAGAGGTTCAAGAAGCCAATGAGGAGAAGAATGCCTTAAAAAGCAAGATTGGACAAATGGAAAAGGAAGTCCAAAAGCTTACTGAAGAAAATACTTCCTTAAAAATTAGAATAGAGCAATTGGAAGCTAGTGACTTTATGAGAAATCAAGACACTGTAAAACAAATTCAAAAGATTGAAAAAATAGATAACAATGTGAAATATCTCATTGGAAAATAGATCCTGGAAAATAGATCCAGGAGAGAGAATTTAAAAATTATTGGACTATCTGAAAGTCATGATCAAAAACAGAGCCTAGACATCATCTTTCAAGAAATTATCAAGAAAAACTGCCCTGATATTTTAAAACCAGAGGGCAAAATAGAAATTGAAAGAATCCACCAATCACCTCCTGAAAGAGATCCCCAAAGGAAAATTCCTAGGAATATTGTAGCCAAATTCCATAGTTCCTAGTCAAGGAGAAAATATTAAAGCAGCCAGAAAGAAACAATTCAAGTATTGTGGAAACACAATCAGGATAACTCAAGATTTAGCAGCTTCTACTTTAAGGGGCTGCATGGTTTGGAATATAATATTCTGGAGGACAAAGGAGATAGGATTACAACCAAGAAACACCTACCCAGCAAAACTGAGCATAATCCTTCAGGGGGAAAAATGGACATTCAGTGAAATAGAGGACTTTCAAGCATTCTTGATGAAAAGACCAGAGCTGAACAAAAAATTTGACTTTCAGATACAAGACTCAAGAGAAACATGAAGAGGTAAACAAGAAAGAGAAATCATAAGAGACTTATTAGGGTTGAACTGTTTACATTCTGCATGGAAAGATGATATTTGTAACTCATGAGTCCTTTGACAGTATTAGGGTAGTTGGAGGGAAAAAATTATATGTATGTATGAATGAATAGATAGATAGACAAACAGATAAATAGAGGGCACAGGGTGAGTTGAAGATGAAGGGATGATATCTGGAACATAAAATTAAGGGGTGAGAGGATTATCCTGGGAGAAGGAGAAAGGGAGAGGTAGAATGGGGTAAATTATCTCACATAAAACCGACAAGAAAAGGCTTTTACAGTGGAGGGGAAATGGAGGGAAGGTGAGAGAGAATGAGTGAATCTTATTCTCATTGGGGGAGGGGGTAATCAGAAGCAAACACTTCTAGAGAGGGACAGGGTCAAAAGAGAGAATAGAATAAATGAGGGACAGGATAAGATGAAGGGAAATATACTTAGTTTTTCACAACATGACTACTATGGAAGTGTTTGCATGACTACACATGTATAACCTGTA